ATTTACTCATGAGAGACACACAGAGAGAGGCAGAGACACTGGCAGAGGGAGAAGCAGGCTCTCTGCGGGGAACCGGATGGGGTGCTCCATCCCAGCACCCAGGATGGCGACCTGAGCCAAAGGCAGATGCTCTTTGAGCCACCCAGTGTCCCTCACTACTGATTTTTAACACTGAACACATAAGGGGGGGGGGGATAAATTTGGCTATGTCAACCATGAAACTTCAGTATCACAACACACACAAAAATGTCACCATCAAAAGACAAATTGAGAAAATATATGCAACACACCCGAGGAAAGAAACGCAAATTTCTTTCATTTTATAAAGCACTCACACAAGGAATAGGGGGTGGGGGGTCGGGAAACAAAGGGCCTAATGGCAAAAATGCAAACATGAATATTGTTTGCAGAAACATGCATGCAAATCGCAAAAGAAGATATGAAAAGACTAATCAATGTGCACAGTAGAACTGTGTGGGGGGGGGAATGCTACTTTCCACTGGAATTTGGCAGATGTGGAGGAAGTGGACATTTTCATACTGTGTAATGTCCAGTGATACAATCTTTCTGAAGGGCAAATCGGCAATGCGTATCAACGCATTTAGGTGCGTTAGGTGCACAGATCCTTTGATGTGATTGTTTTGCTGTTAGGAGGTTGGAAGGTTGACTCCCCCCACCTCCTTTTTTTAAACCATAATCTTTTTTATTTTTAAGATCGTATTTATTTATTTGAGAGAAAAAAAGCAAAATCAGGGGGAGGGGCAGAGGGAGATGGAGAAGCAGGCTCCCCTATGAGTAGGGAGCCCCATGTAGGGGCCGGGTGCTCCATCCCAGGACCCCGAGATCATGACCTGAGCCAATGGCAGATGCTTAACTGACTGAACTACCCAGGTGCCCCATGTTATTTTATTTTTAAAAATTCCACCCCCCTTTAATATTTATTGTAAATGCTACTTCCTCCATGCAAAATTTCCTGTTTCGTTTCCAACATTCTGGTACTATCTCATGGCATCAACCTAAGTATACCTTGTACTTGATTCACTTATCCTATCTGCTTGGATGAGATGGCTGGAGCCTACAAATAGACAGCAGTAGTTAAGAATTCAGGCTTGGATACAGGCTGATTTAGAGTCTAGATTTTGCCATCTGTGTATCTTTGGCTAAGTAACTTAACCTTTCTGAGCCTTTTTAGTGAATGGGGAGGTTCCAAGCACCCACCATAGCGGGGGTTGTGTCAGTATGCAATGAAATAATTAAAAGTGGAGCACAGTGTATGGCATCAAAGAGAGGAATGCTCAATCTTATCTAGACAGAGACAGTCTCACAAGCTTTCCAGAATTTAAAAGAAACTCAGATTCTTTCCAGTTGCTTATGTGTCCCTCACTTCCCCCATTATCTCAAGGCCAATCTGAGTTCATTTGGGATGGGAACACACAGTTTACTATAATAAATGAAGTCCATCTAAGACCCTAGGTACAATTGAGACCCTGGCCAGCCTGTTCCCCAGGTGCAAGGGGAAGGAAGAGGATAATTTAACACCTTCCCACTGTTGGGAAGACAATTAAAAAAGTACTTGACACACCCATGGTGGCTAACTTCACATGTGAAGTTTCCTTATCACTGGCTTCTTCCTTTTCCTAATCCATTGTTTAAAAATTCCCTTTATTCTTGGTTGAAAATTTCCCCAACGCATCTTTTTTTTTTTTAAGATTTTTTTTTAAGATTTTATTTATTTATTCATGAGAGACACAGTGAGAGAGAGAGGCAGGGACACAGTCAGAGGGAGAAGCAGGCTCCATGCAGGGAGCCCGATGTGGGACTCGATCCCGGGACTCCAGGATCACGCTCTGCGCCAAAGGCAGGCGCTAAACCGCTGAGCCACCCAGGGATCCCCCTTTTTTAAGATTTTATTCATTTATTCATGAAAGACACAGAGAGAGGCAGAGAAACAGGCAGAGGGAGAAGCAGGCTCCCTCCGGGGAGCCCATGCAGGACTCGATCCCAGGACTCCAGGATCACCCCTGAGCCAAAGGCAGACACTCAATCGCTGAGCCACCTAGGTGCATATACCTTAATTATCATCATAAATACAAGGTCTTGAAAGGGGGTTAAAAAAAAAAGGTGGTTATAAGTCACCAGAAAAAGAGGAAAGGTTTGTAAAATAGAAAGATAAAGATTCAAGAATCTGGACCACTGGCCTTAAATTGACACTGGAAACATAAAGAGAAAAGAGAAGGAATGGGGAGATTTGCTTTCAGCATGTAAACCAGACTTTCCTTCTCTTGGTGTTATGGAAGTCAGGCTGTGGGTTATGCATTTTATTTGGAAATAACTTTCCTTTTTTTTTTTTAAAGATTTTATTTATTTATTCATGAGAGACACAGAGAGCTAAAGAGGCAGAGGGAGAAGCAGGCTCCACTCAGGAAACCCCATGTGGGACTCGATCCCGGGTCTCTGGGATCACGCCCTGGGCTGAAGGCGGTGCTAAACCGCTGGGCCACCCAGGGCTGCCCTGGAAATAACTTTCCTTGACACAACTTTACACTCAGGTTTCTGAGCCCTCTACAATATTTTTGATAAAATATCCTGAAAGGATGCGCTGCTGGTCCACCTTAATCCGATGATAAGAGTCAGTCTTGGTAGATGTATTTTCTCAGATACTAGAATATAAAGCATTTTAGAAATGAGCAATGTATTTCTTCAGCTAGAAAAGAAACATGCCCATGTTGTTCACATTTAAAAATAATGTTTGGAAGGCTAACTTATACTATGTAATATTTATAGAACACTTAGAGTTTCTAAAGTATTTTCGTTTACATATCATCTGATTCCCCCAAATCCCTGAGGGAGGGAGACAGAGAAAATATTATAGAGATTTTACTTTTAAAAAATTAAGTTACATGATTACAGCCATCTGAACATAATGCTAAACAGAAAAACATATTCATCTAAATCCTGTTAACCCCTCCCACACAAAAAACCCTGTTTATTTCAACCAGTTTTTCATGAATATAGGTTTATTGCATAGGGCAGATGCTTGCATGAAAGGCACAGCAAGAGCTGAAAGGTCTGTTTATATCACATCTACATTATTAATTATTATGAATAAATTATAACTGGGATTTAGGTGTTTTCTTTCCCCACTTTTAGAAGAGTTCTGGAAAAGGTCATTTATCCAGCATTCTCAATATTCAAATTATCTAAACAGAAAACTGTCCATAAAGAGTGTTTTATAATCAGTTAAAAAAGCATCCTTGAAATAACAAAGAATTTATCTCCTAGAGCGCAGATACCCATTGAAAAGCTAACAATGTCACTGTGGCCCAACCCATGTGATCTAGACTGAGGTGTACAACCCCCCCCCTTTTTTTTTAAGATTTTATTTATTTACTCATGAGACACACACAGAGGCAGAGACATAGGTAGAGGGAGAAGCAGGTTCCCTGCAAGGAGCCTGATGTGGGACTCGATCCCGGATTCCGGAATCATGCCCTGGGCCAAAGGCAGATGCTCAACCGCTGAGCCACCCAGGCATCCCAAGGTGTACAAATCCTAACTGAGAACACTGATGTGAGAGATCAAACTGCTACCTTACAAATGATATATGTTTTATGGCCCATTCTCTCAATATACTGTGCTTATGTCTACTGTAAAGGAAAAGTAAGAAACTGGACCCAGAAGATATTGGGCCTGCATTAAGTGCCATTATGGGAAAAAATACCTCTGTTTAGTTTCCATCAAAAGCCTGGATGTGTTCCTGAAACTAATGTAAATTGTGTGTCAACTATACTTCAATAGGGACGCCTGCGTGGCTCAGTGGTTGAATGTCTGCCTTCGGCTCAGGGTGTGATCTTGGGGTCCTGGATCGAGTTCCACATCCTGCTTCTCCCTCTGGCTATGTCTCTGCCTCTCTCTGTATGTGTCTCTCATGAATAAATAAAATCTTTAAAAACAAAACAAAAAACTATACTTCAATAAAAATAAAATAAAATAAAATAAAATAAAATATTAAGAAAAGAATGACTGGGGCACCTGGCTGGCTCAGTCTGTGGAGAATGGGACTTCTGATCTTGGGGTTGTAAATTCTAGCCCAACGTTGGGTGTAGAGATTACTTTAAAAAAAAATAAAAATCTTAAAAAAAGTTAGACAAGGGACGCCTGGGTGGCTCAGCAGTTGAGCACCTGCCTGCGGCCCAGGCTGTGATCCTGGAGTCCTGGAATCGAGTCCCACATTGGGCTCCCGGCATGGAGCCTGCCTCTCTCTCTGTGTGTCTCATGAGTAAATACAATAAAATCTTTTTTTTAAGACTTTATTTATTCATAGAGACACACAAAGAGAGAGAGAGAGAGAGAGAGACGCAGAGACACAGGCAGAGGGAGAAGCAGGTTCCATGAAGGGAGCCCGACGTGGGACTCGATCCTGGGTCTCCAGGATCACACCCCAGGCTGCAGGCGGCGTCAAACCGCTGCGCCACGGGGGCTGCCCAATACAATAAAATTAAAAAAAAAAAAAAAGTTAGACTGGATGTGCTGTGAGAAACAGGTATGTCAAGAAAATCTCAACTTTCATTTAGAATTATGGTTTTGGGCAACTTAAAATACATGACAGAGTCACAGAAAGTTTAAATTATTCAGTTTGGATTCAAAAGAGCACTAAATGATCTCTCAACAATGGTAACCTTGACCAAGTGATGTCAGTACAGTTCTGTCTACATGGGTGGTTGGGTGGTAGGGTTCTCTAACCGGGGTGGGTCCATAATAAATGGTCCCTTAATAATGGAGAAGAAAGATTCCTGATATGAAGAATTAACTCCAGGAGAACATGATTAGTTTTCAAGACTGTTGAAGACATTTGATCATTACCATATCATTTTTTTTTTTGACGGTCACACATCTCCCTTTATTGGAAGCAGTAGGTGGGACACTTCCAGCAATAGTAAAAAAATTAATTTACAAAAGCAGAAGTTCAGTGAAGCCACCTGGTTGGAACCCTTGGGAGCTCATACGTAGATGCCAACCCAGAGCAGCAGGAAGAGGACTCCAAAACCCATGAAGAGTGAGGCCACCAAGGAGATGAGGAGCTCTTTGTAGATATTCTGAGTGTCCTTGGTGGAGGTGACCTCATAAATGAAGAACCAGGCGGTAAAGAACGTGCCAATTGCCAATAGCACCGTGGTCAGATGGGGGAAGACGGCAAGGTTCACTGGGCTGGTGTATCTGCTCATGGCCTCGAGCTCCATTTTGCCAGGTGGCGAAAACAGGGTCATCCACTGCTCTGCCACCGGTCACTCAGTATTTAAAAGCAATTTAGCAGGGGTGCCTGGGTGGCTCCGAGTTAAGCCTCTGCCTTTGGCTCAGGTCATGATTCCAGGGTCTTGGGATTGAGTCCCACCTCCTGCTCATTGGGGAGTCTGCTTCTTCCTTTGCACCCCCTCCCCCCTATTCATGTACTTGCTCATGCCTTCTCCCACAATAATAAATCTTTTTTTTTTTTTTAAAGCAAGCTACAAATCTGTAAACCCGGTCTATGTGAAGATGCATTCACACCAGTTGGTCTAGATCCATCTCTTGACAGGCCAAGGCCCATTAGACTTGGCTTCCTTTTTTTTTTTAAGATTTTATTTATTTAGGGGATCCCTGGGTGGCGCAGCGGTTTGGCGCCTGCCTTTGGCCCAGGGCGCGATCCTGGAGACCCGGGATCGAGTCCCACATCGAGCTCCCGGTGCATGGAGCCTGCTTCTCCCTCTGCCTGTGTCTCTGCCTCTCTCTCTCTCTCTCTCTCTCTGTGACTATCATAAATAAATAAATAAAAATAAAAAAAAAGATTTTATTTATTTATTCATGAGAGACACAGAGAGAGGCAGAGATACAGGCAGAGGAAGGAGAAGCAAGCTCCATGCAAGGAGCCCGATGTGGGACTTGATTCCAGGACTCTGGGATCATGTCCTGATCCAAAGGCAGACGCTTAACCACTGAGCCACCCAGTTGTCCCTAGACTTGGCTTTTGTTTCCCAGGTATAGAGTAGAATGGTGTCATACTACATGGACACTCATCTGCAGGACTGCATACTGTAGGTTAAACATTAAAAAGAGAAATATTTGAAATAATTCAAGATAAATAACATACAAGATTTGGCTGCCTATTGGACCCTGTGCATTTTGGTCTTCAGGTGAGCATGATCCGAGAGCTGCAGACCATCCGTCTTGGCATACACATTTTGTTATGCTGAATGCGATTCTGACCACAAAGGTGAGCTGGGTGCGATTTAACAAAGGATTCCACCCCTAAACACAAATCATTCGTTTGTTTTTTTTTCCCCCCATCTGTTGCTCAACCCAAAATCCAGCAATTTGATCCTATGTTGGAAAAACAACACACCCTGCTGAGATGATATTCAGTGTCTCCTCACTTAGTCTCCATTAACAGAGCACCTATCAATGAGGAGAGGTAGGAATTGGCTAGCACAAGGCAGTAACTGTACCAGTAGCTGCTAAGGTGATGAGTCAGGCCTTAGGGGAAGACCCTAAAAGCCTTCTATGTGACTATAAGACATAAATTTGAGGGTTACAGCCCCCAACGGCAGTATGCAAAAAGAAAAGAAAAGAAAAGAAAAAAACTTCGAACCACACACCATTCACCATTCCAGACACTGTTCATTGTTCCAAAAGGGCCAGCTTTCTGTAGGGAGGCAATTCCAAGCCTCCAAGCTAAAGCTTGAGGGGCCTCTTTGGGACTTAATAGTTTGAAGGAATTGCTTCCACCTCACAGAAGTTGGGAGTCTTTCACGAGGCAGCAGCAAAATTCCACACCAAAGTGTTACATTCATAGAAGCCAGGGGCGAACAAGTTTTTAATGATGACAAGTGACTCCTGACTAGATGAATTTCTGCCTTGCCAGCTCACTCTGGGACACTCTCCAAACGCTCCTCCGTGACACCAGTTCACGGTGCGAAGCCTGCCCTCGCGGCCGTCCCGCTGCCGGCGTCCTCCAGAAGCCACCCAGGCCTCGGGCCCTTCCCTAAAACATCCTCCCCGAGCCCCACAGCAGCTGTGTTTGCCCCTGCAAGCCCGGCTGCTCCTGTTAGCTCGATTGCAGACTTCCCGAGAAAGTTAACGCTTGTTCTCTAAATAGCTGTCAGTCGTACTCGCTACTGGGACTACGGAGTTTAATTAAACATGCCAATATGGTAATGAAGTACGAGTGCAAAAAAGAAACACCGTTCTAGTTTGAAAACGGAATGGACCGCTTTGCAGGGAGGCTCGACAAAGGAGAGTCCCGATCGAGCCCGGCGGGGACAGAAGTGCCCGTGGGAGGCGAGGGGAAGCCGTAGAGATGTGCCCATCTTCTGCAAACCACGCGGCTCCCGCAGGGACCTCGAAAGCCTCCGTCTCTTTTAAAGAATCCCGACGTGGGGATTCTGGGGGAGGCTTTCTGGGTGCGGTCGACGCGGGAGGGGACGGGGACACGCCGATCTGCGGGCACCGAGATTCAAAGGGAAGGTCTTGGACCGACATCAAAAAGACTGGCTGCTCGGAAAGTTTTCTCTCCAGCGACAAAGGCTGGAAAAAAGCGCCGTGGTCGCCACCTACCGAGGGGGAGGGGAGAAGGGGTGGGGGTGGGGGTGGGGGTGGGGGGAGGGCGGCCGGCGGGGCCCCCCCATCTCCGCCGGGGGGGAAGAATCGTGAAACCATTCGGTCCAGTGCTCCACGGAACCGCCTTGGACCTCGGGGCTCGAGTTTTGTAAACTTGTGAGCGTCGCTTAGGTGAACTGCAGTGTCTCATCATTTTCGACATCCGAGAGCTCAAGTTGAAAAGCGAAAAAGCACAATCGGGAGGCGGGGGGCGGGGTGCGGGGTGCGGGGTGCGGGGTGCGGGGCCGAGGCTTCGGTCCAGTTTCTCCGCGGTCGACAGAACAAAACCCAGCGGGCTACAGGGCGCGTTTTCTGCTCCCTCCGCGGCTTTCTCTCAACTTTGCCTCTAAACGTGGAGCGAGGGAGCGAGGGGAAAGTCTGGGCTGTGTGGGTGGAGGGGGTGGGGGGTGGTAAATAAAAACAGGAGCCCCCCCGCCCGCGCCCCCGCCCCCCGCAAGTTGGGGCTCTGGTGTCCTTCGGCCGCTTCGGAGGCAAGCTTTCAAAACTAACAGAGGAGTTCTTTGTGTCCGGGAGGGTGGTGCAGGGCGGAGGAAGTCCCTCGGCGGAGCACAGGGACCGGCGGGCCGGCCTGGGGCTCCCGGGCCTCTGCCATGTTCCGGCCTCGCCATCGGCAGGGAATATCGGGCGCACGAGTGAGTGCGAGCCCTGGACGGTGGCTCCGGCCCGCGGCACCGCGGCCCCGCGGCGCTGAGCAGGCGGGGGCCGCCCCCGGCCTAGGCCGGCGCCCCGCGCCCCGCGCCCCGGCTCCCCTCCCCCACCCGGGCGGCCGCGCAGGCCCCAGGTGCAGCCATGTTCTTGCTCCCACCACCCGCGCCTCCATTGACAGTCCTTGCCGGAGAGGGCCGGGCGCTGCGCTCGCCGCGTCCTCGGGCTCGGGGCTCGCCGGCGCGGGGCTTCCTGGGAGTCGTAGTCCGCCGCCCCCGCCGTCGCGTTGGTGGGGACGAACCACAAAACTACAACTCCCGCTGGGCGGCGCTGCGGGTGCGCACGCGCAGCGCGCCTTCGAGGAACAAAAAAAAAAAAAAAAAAAAGAGGAGGAGGAGGAGGGTGAGAGAGAAGCTCGGAGAGCAGAGAAAAGGGGCCACCGATCGCCCCCCCGCTTCCCCGCACGCGCTCTCTAGCTGAGGCCGCCCGCCTGCCGCGGTGATCCCGGCCTCTCCCTCGGTCCCCCGTGATCGGATCTAGGCGCTGATCCAGGCCCTGCCGGGGCGGCCATGCGGCGGTGACAGGAGCTCGGCCAAGACGCCCGGGCCCCTCGCCCTCTCACCTCCTGCCCGCTCGCCCGCTCGCCCCAGCCCGGAGCTGCTCCGCCGCGGCCGCAGCTCTTGCTCGGCCCACACGCGCTTCCTTTCGGCTCCCCCAGCCCCGGCGCTGCCTGGAGGCGGCTGCACTCGGGTGAGTCCCCGTCGCCTCCCCCGCGGCCCCCCGCCCCGGTTGCCATCGCGAGCGGGGCCCTTCTTTGAGACGCGCCCCCCCGGGGCCCGCGCGGACTGGGGCCTGGGGTACCCGGGCCGCCGTGTTGGGGGTGGGGCGGGAGGAGACGCGGTCGCGGGGGACGACAGTTGCACGCGCGCGCCTGGGAGCGCGGGGGGAGGGGCGCGCGCGCCGGCGCTGCGTGGGGGGGCTCACGCGTGAGTCCCGCGCGCGAGCGAGCCTGCGGGCTGCGCATGCCCGGCCGCTGATTGGCCGGCTCGGGCGGTGCGGGTGCGCGCGCGGTGCCAGGCCCGAGCCGTGGGGTCGCGCTCGGCCTGGTGTCTCCGGGGCTCGTGCGCCCGGGCAGCAGACGCGCGCGATTGGCCGGCGGGCGGCCGGGGCGGCGCCGCCGCGCTGCCTGGTAACTGCGGCCGGCGGGCCCCCGAGCGCCGCCCCGCCCCGCCCCGCCCCGCCCCTGCTCCTGCTCCTGCTCCTCCCCGCCCCTGCCCGCGCCCAGGTGGAGCCCGGAGTGGGCTTTGTCCCGGCCCGGCCGGCGCGCCGGCCCCGCGGGGCCTGTTCTTCGGGGGAAATAAACACAATGACCGGAAGGAAAACCTCGGCCTTCGGGCCCTGGAGAGCCGTCTGGATCCCGCAGGCACCCAGACGGGGTTTCGAGGAGGGACGGAGGGGAAAAACTGTCCTTTCCCCGCTCCCTGTGCTCCCTCCACTTTATCCAAGTTTTGCCTTTTAATAAAGGAAGTTCTTTCTTCTTCTTCTTCTTCTTCTTCTTCTTCTTCTTCTTCTTCTTCTTCTTCTTTCTTCTTTCTTCTTTCTTCTTTCTTCTTTCTTCTTTCTTCTTTCTTCTTCTTCTTCCCCTGTTGCATGTGGTGTTGCCGCAGCAGGCGGCTGAGCGTTCGGGCGTCTAGTTCGGTTCGAGCAGCGCCCACTGCGGCTGCGGGGCTCCGCGGCTCCGGGCACGCTCCCCCTTCTTTGCGTTCAACTTCGTGGCCGACCCTGGCTTGAGGGGCCAGAGGGCAGCAGAGTCGTCTCTTGGGCGTTCAGGAAGCAGAAGGGGAAGTTAGTTTGCAAATGAGGGTGCCCCGGAGCGCCGGGAGGAGGCCGAGCCTGCTGCGGGCCCCGAGCCTGCGGCGGCCCCCGAGCGTGCTGCGGCCCC